TGCATTATGGTTTTGCGCTGTTGATGGCAAAATTATGGTTTGTGGTACTAATCAAACTTTGTAAGCTTCATTGCCTTTGAGTGTTGTGGGTGGGTCGACGATGGTGTGAGAGAAAGAGCTGGTGGCAATGAACTGCAACGACACCGGTCCTCTGGTGCAGGGTTTACGGTACAGTTGTAGGATCACTTCAAGGTAAATATTTGACTAACAAATAAATTCCGGCAATAGGATCACAAGGTTATTTATTGACTGACGGATAAACTCATGTAGGAAACATGTTCATGTCGAATATCACTCATCTATATTCTCCTGTTGGTGGGGAAGATTGTTCTGCTAAGAGTATAGGTAAATTCTTTTTCTGATCATTGGTTCTTCGATCAGTAGGAACTTGAACTTAATTTCCGATAAATACTTTAAATTTCTTATTACAACTATTTTGAGGTTCAATAGTATGTTGTTTATGTTTTCCCAGTGAAAATCGTTGATTGTTTGCTGTTGTTCCCAGCTATGTTTATTGTTTAGATAGTGTCGGACAATGGTAAATTGTAGAAAGCTTTCCCACCAAAGTGAGAGTGTGCGGATCACCCGTTCATGCATTTGTGGTGATACAAAGTTACCCCTTGGTTTATCTTAATTACTAAAAGAACGCGAATCCCTTTTTAAATTATGCTCTGTTAAAATTTGTTTTTGCTTTTACAGATTGCACTTCCGGTAACAGAGGTGTTTTCAATGTTATTATTCTTTATAAACTTTATTAATAGCTTCATGTACTTAAATCTTGTGGTTAAACTTTTGACAGTTTGTATTACTCATCCGTAATATACTTTTATTATGTTTATGGAGGTCCTGAAAACAATAACTTTATTTCACATCCAATACTTTACATTACTGGTAAGGAATGATACCAGTGACTACCTTGTGCTACTGCTAGCTAGCTACTAAGGCTGGTGCCACTCTACCGCCACTCTCTACTGGTGATTGTTGTTAGCTTTGTTCAATTCTTTAATCATCAAATTATTGGTATGTTTTTTTGTAATTTTTTTCCACTATCGATAGCTTTATCACAAAATGTACAAATGGTTCATGTGTGATGGAGTTCTAAAAGCGGTCAGCAGCATGGAGTTCATCTTACATTGAAGCCTAGGTGTGGGTGCAGAAGTTTTTGTGCCAAGTTAAAAAACTGGAGAGAGATGTTGGGAAAAGTTAAAGGACATTTTATAGAATAAAAACGAAAATAGCTGCTGAAATGTTGTTTACTGCTGCTTCTTGTTTCAGTTTTTCAAACCAAAGACAAATGCTGAGGCATGTTGTTTGTTTGTCAAAATAGTTCTGTTGTCGTTAAGTTCATTTATGTCTTACTCTTTTTTTTCTCCTTTATGATCCCAGGTAAATAGTGCATGTAATCAAGGACCCACAACTCAATGGTGTTTTACATTTAATGTGCAATGTTGATCTAAAGGTATAGGTTTTCCTGGCAGTCGCGATCACCAACTTCAAGCACGGCTGCGGTCCGATGAAGACCAACAGCATCCCGATTGAGTTGATCCAGCCGAGATCCTCCGCTACAGGGTCTTGGAGCCCATCCTCCCTGCCCGCCATCGCGTTGCCTCTGCCGACGTGCACATATGTGTCAAGGGCAGCAAGAACACCGCCTAGATCTACGCCATCCGCTAAGTCCCTCATCGTTAAGTCTCTAGAAACCCTTGTCTGCTCATTTGTCTCTCGAGACTGCAACCTAATTAAACTAGGGCTATGGTTTTTATTTTATTTTCTAGATTTATCGACTAAAAAGAATCAATGCGTGTGGAGGCGGAGTCCAGCTTAGGCATTGCCGAGAATGAGGAAGTTAATGTAAACATTAGAGGCTCAAACGACTCCAAGTTCTCGGTGAAAACAAGCCACGAATCGACAGTAGCTGAATTTAAAGGCGCGTTGGCGCAAAGTTGTGACGTGCCCGCTCGATAACAGCGTTTCATCTACAACGGTCGGATCTTGAAGGACGACCATACCTTGGCTAGCTATGGTAATTTTGCTATTGATTTTTGATTTTTATGAGGTTTTATTCGTTGTCGTAGAATTGTAGTTATTGGATTTTCGGTTGTTAGAAGCAAGTAACTCGAATGCTTTATCTGCTTGCTTACCTGTTGTTGTAATGGTGAGGGGATTTTTAGTTTGATTATTAAATTTGGGCATCCTGGTATGTGGGAAAATAAACTCGAGCAAATAAAGGTTTATGCATGTGTAGTTAAAAGTTTGAGGCTGGAATCTCTAAACATTTACTGTAAGAAAAATTCATGCTAATAATTAGATAATATCAAACCTACTAAATAAGAAAGTGATTGTGGAAAATGAGTCATTGTTGGATTACTGAATTGTATCTAATATTACATTAACTGCATCGACAGTAGAAAAACAATGGATGGACTTATTAAGTGATGGTGTCGTTATATTCAGCGACAAACTAGTGTTTAATAACGATGCCTGGTCGGGTCTGGCTATGTGGAGAGGACTTTGAAAATTCGTAAATGGAAGGATTGGAGCTGCAGCTAATCCATTGTGGTCTCTTCCATACGGCATGTCGAGAAAAAGGAGATATGAGTGAGGGAGATTTGATAAAAATATATTTTTCCTAAAAATATTAGTGGGTGAGATTGTAACCTTGAAATTAAAGTATGTTTATTTTATTTATTTTTTTTAGTTACAAATGTTGGCAGCCAAATGAATATGAATGCAGCGAAGATCAAGCAAATTAAGAGCCGCAGAGGATCAGCAGCGGGAATAGGAGGAGATGCGAACATTTGGGCGGCGTCGTCTGAGAAGGAGTTGCGGTCGGCGTGTATGGCGTCGTTCTGGGACTGCACATGGTGAGGAGAAAGGTTTGATTGAAGTGTTTTTGTAGATGCTAAAAAATGTTAGTTTTCTATGCTTTCCAATCCTGCATCCTTAATGCCCATCTATTCAATGAATAAAAAGCATTTTGTAAAACTTGGGTTGGTCGTTTGAAAGAATATCCCAAAATAGACAGTTCGGTAACACTCACCTGGATTAAAGGTTCCGATTTCATAATAGTTTATGTTGGTCTCAGTTTGGGTTTTAGGACAAGTGGAGTAACATGAGTGTGATGGCGAACGCAGGCTGGCGCTGAAAAGGATTTACCTAACACCCAAACATGGAGAGAGCGCGCCTCTTACGCGTATCTTAGGTGAATGCTCTGAAAGATTAACTTGAGAAATTCTATGAAAATGATGCAATTGGATCCAAGGACTTGTCGAGTAATATAAATTTGCTCCATATTGACAGGTTTGTCAACCGGGCGTAACCAATTTGTAAGCTCTGAAATTTAAATTTTTCGTTGGCTAGAGTTTTCTACGTGAAACAATTATTTCACAATTATATGTAATTATCGATATTGGAAAATTAGTTTTATATTGTTAAGTAGAATTAATCTTTTGCTTTTCAACTCATCTTCTCAAATATTGTGTACCAAAGATTTATTCACGCTTTTATAAATTGGTAGATCTCATTATATTATTGTATTGTTTAGTTTCTTATGCATTGTTGATGAGTTATTTGAAGATGAAATTATAAATGCCATAAAAGGTGGGCATGTATATTTTTTTTTTTTTTTTTGCCAAATATTAGTTATAATTATAGACTGGACTAGAGTCGGCTGTGCGTGCACAACCATCTACCAACTAGTATATAGATATAAATTATTTAGCTCTTTTTACTTCTTTGTTTAAATATATATGTAAAAAGGTTATTTGACATAAAATTATAAGTAAAAATTGATGATTAAGTTTGTATGAATGGTCAAATCTCAAATGGTTAGTTTATGTAAAACTTTGCATGGATAACGTTTTTATTTAAATTTCATTTTCATTGGCTGTACAATTAATTAAATGCTCGATGGCCAAGGTTGACTGGGCTAAATTTCATTTTGAGTACACTATGTTCATCATTTTCTGAAAATGGTTTATCATATAGGACATTTTCAAGAAGGCAAAATTTCAATATTGGTCCTATAACTTGGCCACTGTCCAAAAAACCACCCTTATATTGACCACTTTCAATTTAGGTCCTATAATTTGTCGATTTCATCAATTTTGGTCCTTTTTATCCGGACCCTGGATTAAAAAGTGATGTGGCATGACGTGTCAGTTTTTTAAGGTTACATGGCATGATTATGATCTACGTGGCACGTCAATTTTAGTCCTATAATTTGTCGATTTTATCAATTTTGGTCCTTTTTTCATGCCACGTCACTTTTTAATCCAGGGTACGGATAAAAAAGGACCAAAATTGATGAAATCGACAAATTATAGGATCTAAATTGAAAATGGTCAATATAAGGGTGGTTTTTTGGACAGTGGCCAAACTATAGGACCAATTTTGAATTTTTGCCTTTTCAAGAATTATTCACTAATAGTTATCATTTTAATCAAAACGCGTACAAAAGCCAACATAGTGTATGAAATATGACAATTAAAAATGATCACATTTAGTACATTATGTTGGTGATTGTACCGATCACTTTTAACCTATGGACCTTTTTCGGAAAATAATCAACATAGAGGACCATTTTTGAAATTTTGCCAAGCTAACTGCCTATTGTTTAAAAATCCTTTCATATCTATTGAATATTTTCTTTTAGCCGATTTTTTCAATAATTTTTATGCATATGGCGTGTGCTATAATAATCATCAAAATACATATGAAGATCAATTAGTAGAATAACATATCAATATATTTAGAATAAGTTACAAAACAATATACTAATTCCAATCAATAAAACTTTGAATAATTATAGAAGTCCACACCAACAATTGCAACATCCCACAACAACTATACGATATATCTTCCAATAAACTAACCAAAGTTTTGATTTAATAACCCCAAATTAACCTCTAGCAAACCAAACATTTATGAAATTTACGAAAATAATTAACTTAGCTAGGTCGAATTATAATCGCATCGTGTTCGAATTATGATCATTCGATTCAAATTTGGCGGGACTTGTGTGCCGTGACTATGGCGAGCACGAAATAGAAAAATAGCCCGAAATAGGACAGTATAGTAGCTGCCATGACCCAGTCGCAAAATTTGTTGAAATAGCCACAAATTGCCATCCAACCCGAGTGACTGTTTCCGTATTTCCCTATGTAACCCACAACTGTTGCAGCTGCACATCCCGCCATCAATAGTATCGTCATCACCTGTCGATTTTTTATTTTTATTTTTATTTTTTTTAACATTTGACATGTTTTGAGAAATACATAAAAATATTATATTAATCATAAAATGTGCATAATACATTATGAAATAAAGAAAAAATACCATATCATGCAAGAACATGTAGAAGTAGTAAGTTGAATCAACTGTCTTCCTCCCCAGGATGAAGGCAGTGAACAGTGATGGAACCGTAAACACACAAACTACAAGATTTGCAAACGCAAAGAACCTAAAAAAAGAAAGAAAAAAAAAACATATCTATTTAATTTATTTAAATTACAATAGCTTTATTTTGGACGGAGCGTTTAATAGTAGGTTTACTTGAAAGCTGGAGAATAACTGTAACGGGCGTCGAATTGGATGCCGAAAACGAGAGCGGTTTGTTTAGTCGAGAGCATAATCGAGGTGGCGGCAAGAGTTGCGGCAAAGGCCAAAAGCCTGAGAGAGATTTGTGTTGCAAAGAAGAGTTTGTGAGGTGGGATTATGTGTTGGGTTTTGCCATTTGTGCTGGCCATTATAGCTCAAGATCAGCGAATTTAAGGACTTATTTATCTTGCTATACTAACTACTTTACAAGGAGCCTTATTAAATGCAAAGGGAAGAAAGGCTTTATTACTAATTAAGGTGTGAATAATGGTAGGTAGCTTATGGTATTTATATAGGCAGCTGAGAGGGAGAGAAGGAGAGTTGAAGATGTTCAAGGAATAGGTGTTGGATCACTTCAAGTCACTGAGGTAGGTTCAGAATTGAATACCTTTCATGTACCAAAAAAAAAGAATTGAATACCTTTCATTAATTGGTGGAGTAATGATTTATAATAAGGGGAAATGCTTAGGTCTTGTTACGGAACCATTCTGTCGGGGTTTGTAACCGTTAGATCATCATGTAACCGCTAGAGATAGTGTTAAGACCAACAACTCAAAACTCAGTTCTCCATCAAGCCCAACATACAAGCCTAAATGGAGTTTCATTCTAGAACCAATTGACAATAGAGGTATAGCCCACTAAGCTTATATATTGAACTTGAAAACCGTTAGTTTTCTGATGTGAGATTGGGTTTGCACACCCTACAAACCCCCCTCAAACACAAGACCACATTGGCCTTTCCTTGCACGAAATTCATACGATTCGACCATCTAGTACCGCCGTTATCACCCACGGAACCCACCGTCTGACCACACTCTTTTGTCAGGAAGACTTTCGACACAAGGCACACGGATCCACCGACCCTTCTTGCTCCAAGGGAACATGTCACGTCATCCACATCGCAACTGTGCTACCAACCGTGGCTCTGATTCCAATTGTTAGGACCAACAACTCAAAACCCAGTTCTCTATCAAGCCCACCATACAAGCCTAACTGGGGCTCCATTATAAAACTAATTGACAATAGAGAGAGTAGCCCACTAAACTTATATATTGAACTATACTTGAAACCATAAATTTTCTGATGTGGGATTGAGTTTGCACACCCTACAAATAGTTGATCTAACGTTTACAAACTTCGACGGAATAGTTCCATAACGGAACTATTGCGTCTTTCTATAATATGACATATGCATCTTATTTATTAATTTATGATTTTTTTATTCTTCTGTGTTTGATAAATGGGCTAGTACAAGTCATCTAAAAAAGTAGCTCAAAGGGAGAGTGTTCAAACCACATTTATGAAGGATGAATAGTCCATAAACTAGTCGATGTGGTACTAACATAACTTGTATACCGCCCTAATGCGTAAGGTGTCAAATCAAACGGGTCGGGTCCAAACCTTACATCATTTCTTTTAGTGTATTTTCATGGCATACTTCTAATTTAATTCTAGTTTCTTGATGTTATTTTGATGATTTTTTTTTTTCAAAACGATAGATTCGATTAATAAAAGCACATAATTACAAACCTAGATACAATTAGGAATAGCCAAACAGCCATCCAGCTGAATCTAAGGGAGACATATACACAATGGTAGCCTGGAGATCTACACTAACGCACCCACAAACAGACAAACTAAACAATCCTATACGGGAGAATCGAAACAGTCCCATACGGGAGAATCGGGCTTCTACTAAGAAGAATAAAACAAAAAGCTAACAAGGCAACCCAAAACATTACGCAACACAAACACTAACAATACTACAATACTAGAATAAAACCCTCCTCTCGCCAGCAGACATTCCACAACAATCCATGGCTCGACACCTAGAGACGACCGCACAAGGGAAAGAAATCCAATCCAAGAAACCGAAACAAAAACTCCAGCAAGCGGCTAATCGTGGATGCACTAGAGACTTGGAGACTTCGTTTAAGATATAATTGGAGACTAAGTGGAAGGTCCAAGATCTCGTAAGTTTTTCTTGCCTTTATTATTGGTTTTTTCTAGGGTAAAGGTATGAGCTTTCATGAGTAGAATATACATTCATCACGTAGGCTAGGGATTATGTGATTTATTTGTTGTTTGCGTGAGCGAGGATTGATTGAGAGCTCGATTAATTGATTCGCGAGTGACGATTGCCTGATTGCATGTTCCCGAACCAATGAGTGCCTTTTTTTCCATCTCGGATCTTAGGGCACCTTCTTATTTTTCTCGTCATTTTCCTTTTTCTTGCAATTTGAGGTGTTGCTTGCGATAAATTTTGTTTCGTGCTTTCATTTTAGTTTAAATTTGTGTTCTTTAGCTTAATCCAAACCCCAAAATGCGAGTAGAATGTATAGGACTTTTTATTTTTCTTTTCGTGTGAGTCAATTGTTACTTGAATCTGAAGGCCGAAAAACCTTCCTCGAGAGACACGACCTGAGGTTGGAATTATTCCATACTCGGCTAAAAAATACAAACAAAATGCCCTATTCTTATACCTTTGATGCCGAGATCACCGTTTTACGAGGTATTTCACTTGGAACAACTCGAGCCATTTGTATTTAAATTAAGCATGCTTTTGTCGTTTGAGAGTGCTATATATTAAATGCGGGGGAGGTGTGTCGGAGGTTCGAGAGCTTGTGTTGAATATTTAATGAATTTGGGTGATTGTCATTCGATTATGGTGCTCGTTGGGAGACATTGTTGATTATTTTGAGAAACGAAGTGCGCATGGTGATTTGCTTTGATATTCTGATATCATTGGTATTCGATGTTGCTTGTGAATATGCATTGATTCAAAAGGGGTTGTGCCCTGTTGATTATGACGGATAACCGGTAGACGTGTTGGCGATTTGTTTTTAATTACTTTATCTTGCGGAGTTTGATGCCGTTTCGAAGCTTGAGTTGACACTCATAAATCTTGTGAGGACTCAACTTGGGCGTGCTCCTTGATTTGTCTTGCTATATCCATTGGGGAGCCTTCGGTCTTGGCGTGCGGATCCGTTTTGTAATTCTATATTCTTGGGAGGCTCGATCAATGCATTGGAGCATTGTTTTGCCACTTTTATATCCTTGACGTTCGAGGCGGTTATCGGCGATTTGATTTGTCATTCTTCATATTCGTGACGTGCGACAAACCGAGTTTGCACTTTCTTACCTTCTCTTATTTTGTTTGTTTTTCTTATTTCTCTTGCTTATGTGTTTTGTTCTTATCGTGCATTTGAATCAATTCCGTTGCATGACTATGTTTGTTCCTTATTTTTTTCCTTTCACTTGTTGGGGTACGCAATGAGGGCATTGCGTGGGGAAGGTTTTTGAGAATCTTGCATGCTTATTTGGTGGATCGAACTAGTTTTTAGGTGTTTTTATCTTTGTTTTTATGTGTCTTGGACAAGTTTTTGTCTTAGTTCTTGTGTGTTTGTTTTGATTCCCCCTCATGAAGCTTAATGCTTGGTCAAGTCAAAATGACTAAGTTGTGAGTGAAGATTGTTGAATGGTTTAATTTTTATTTTTATTTTTATTTTTTTTTTTCTTGTGTGCTTGATGAATTGGATGATTTCCTAAAATTAAATGATGAAATATTAACACTGAAACCCGAATTTGAGTTCACAGAATTGTTTTGTCCCTTGTTTATTCTCGATTGATGATCTTGAAACATTCTTGCCTTATCTATTGTATCATCGATGTATCCTGTGTGCCGCTCCCTTTGTAAAAAAAAAGAATTAAATGTGAGTTCGCGAGGAAGTACGGATTATGATCCTCTTATTTTGACCCACTTAGTCGAATGAGATAATGAGCCCGGAAAACC